CTTAGTTCGGTTCCCCCTTTTCTCAATCGAATTACCAAGCTTTAATACAAATCTCAGATAAATACCACCCAGGATCTCCTGCACTTTGTTATAGCTGGAGATTTTTTGATACGTTTTGTTAGGGAAACACACGAAAAGTGTTTTAGTGTCCATTCATTAATAATTAGTATTTTAGGATAAACCTCTTCATGAGCCATCTTGAGCTTCCTTTCTTGGACAACCGAAAGAAAATCTGTTTAGGTTAAGGCACAATTTCAAGATTTGTTAGACTTAGGGGTCACATGATTGATTGAGTTTGGTTGGCCAGACCGGGAAATATTTGACTCTGACTCTGTTTTATTGCTTCTGAACAGATGGATGGAAATAATGGAACACAAGGATAAGAACGGCCTTACCCCCATGAAGCTTCTCATAAAACACTTCCCAGAGAGTGCACAGCTGGTCATGGATTACTGCATTGATCGATCAGAGATAGAAAGTTCCAGTGATCCAAATTTTACCATTACTTGCAACCTCCGTTTCCTAGACCCCAGTCCTACTCACACCACTTGCCTGAGAGAAAGCCGTTTCTTTGGACCGAGCACCATGGTGAAACACGAACGTAGAGAATTACTCGAGCATCCTTTGACACAGGTCTTGCTGAATAAGAAGTGGTCTTCTTTTGGGCGCTTAGTGTTCTACTTTAACTTTATGTTCTATTTTGTCTTTGTTGTCATGTTTACAGTTTTCTTAATCCGATTCATGCAGAACGGTGATAAAGGATTGGGAGATTTTTTTATGTATCCAATAGTATTTTTACTTATATTTGTCCAGTTCATTAAGGAAGTTATTGCAATACTTGTCCAGAGGTTTCGTTATTTCACCACTTTAAGCAATCTCACTGAATGGATACTCTACAGTACGACGCTTTCATTCATAACGTTACTTTTCATTTTCGATCTGTTTGGCCTTGAGAAGCTTTACCCACAATTCATCTGGGTGTTGGGTGCCATTTCGATTTTCCTTTGCTATGCGAACCTAGTCTTGGTTCTTCGTCGGTTGAGTCTGGTTGGAATCTATGTCACCATGTTTATAGAGGTCACTAAGTCGGTTCTAAAAGTACTTCTAATCTTCTTTGTCTTGTTCTTTGGGTTCTCCATGGTGTTCTACGTCCTCTTTAAATCAGAGGTAAGATGAAATAAGAGATAAATGTGTATATGAGTAAATTTGCTTCTGTTTGTGATTTATGTGAGTTTTTTCCTTTTTTAGTAAGTAAAAATAAGTAAAAATATTCCTCATCCTGTACCTTTTCGCGCCGTTTATTGACTCGCTCAATAGCAACAAGCCTGACAGATTTGGTTACAGTAATTAATTATAATGTCACGGGATTTTGGGCTCAATATGGGTGCAGCAAATGCCTAATCGTACCTTTTCAGTGCGCTTTGACGACATATAAAGCTCGCTCGGTCTTGTCAAGGGGTATCTTGGAATCATGACTCAACTAAAATCGCTTCATCTTCTAACGGAGCGCGCCAAAAAGGTACCATTAAGAATGATATAACGTTATAGTAAGCGAAATATGCAATAACGATAAACAATAAACAACACCCAAGATCTGATTGTTAATTCTCCCCTCTGGCTGCTACACATTTCCTTTAAAATTAGTTAAGAGAATATGGTGTTAGATTAAGAAAAACAACTTTTGTGTTATAAGTTTATTCTCATTACCTGTTTGCTAGACAGTTTATGGATATTACACGGAGAAGTAACCTCTCCATCACCTCTGGGAATTAAAGGGTTAAAGCGCTGAGAATCTCTCGTATTTCCTCCACAGGAGGTGGTATTTAAACAACCGGGATTTTCTTTACTGAAGGTGGTAGTGATGACAATTGGAGAGGTTGACTTTGAAGACAGATTCATGCATTCCCAGAATATCACAAACGAGCCGACATTTTCTCAGACAGCTTCTTTCGTTTTCCTCGGCTTGTTCTTGATTTTAATGACAGTTGTACTGATGAACCTGCTGGTATGCTTTAAGATAACAAACTTATTTGTAACTTTTAATAGTACTAGTTGGATGCACAAGTATAAATGAAGCAGCGTTCTATCACAAACGCAGTAGTCTTATTGGCTTCGCTACTCTCTATCTATTTGACATATGGATCTCATGTTAACATGTGTCTATTCAGTGTGATATATTAACCATTTAACCCCTAAGAGTGACGAGCATCTAATTTCTCCTTACAATATCCCCACTCAATCACACATTGATGTCATGAGAATGAAGGAAATAATCATCAACTAAAGAAACTCTTGATTGTTAGACAAATTCTCCTTGTCAGCACCTTAGTAAATGTACAGAGAACAGTATGGAGAATGAATACTAATGTCAGAGTGTAGAGGGCTAAGCTGAATTATGCGCGCATTTTGTCTGCTTCTTACTTACGATGTATCGGTAGATATACATCCATAGATGACATCACCATTGACAATTTTTTTTCTTTATCGTATAAAACAAACAGATTCCATGTAGGCATGAATATGTTCAGTAACAGATCACAAAAGACCTCAAAATAAAGAAACAACGTCAGTGACACGCTCGGCTGCGCCTCATGAGCCACTTTTTTGTCCTTACCACATTTTGACCTCATCTGTGATCTGTTACTGAGCAGACGCTCGGCAACATAGAACCTTCCTATGGAATACACCACAAATAACGTCAATTGTAGTTGAAACAAAAAATTGGAACACGGGACGGAACCGAGTGTGCCACCGACTCAAAATTCGTATTATCAAGACGCTTCCATGTAAGAAATCAAAATTAGTGCTACAATTTGTAGGACGTTGATCACGGTTACATATTCACCTACAGGTGGGTCTTGCCGTGGGTGATATCGACGCGATCCGCCGCAATGCTGCGTTTAAAAGAATGGCTATGCAGGTCATGTATATCGCCAAGGTCGAAAACAGCTTCCCGAGGTGCATCTCGCGGCGTTTTCGCCATCCAGAAGTAACTTTGCAGCCAAATCGTCGAACTCTGAGGAAGAGGTATGCCGTGATTGCCATTCTGATTAAAAGTCACTCGTTAATCTCAAAATATCAGAAAAAGTCTAAAAAGCAGCTTTACAACGACTCTGTCAATGTCTACTTCTCTTTAATATCTTTACCATACATTATCCAGTCAAAAGTCAACGAGAAAACTGAGCAGTTAGAAGTTTTTATTTTGATCTAACACGACATTCTCGTCACTGATTGACAGGAAAATTTATAGCAACTTGAAGGGAGAAGTAACAATCACATCTTGGGAGTCAAATTAAGGGTTAAAATGTTCACTTCACAAAATTATTTCTTTGTCTTCGATATTCAGGTTGATGCTTCTTCTTGGAATGAAGACATCTTCGGGCTTGGACTTTACTCCTCGCGCCAAAGAAGAACCGTCCCCCGGTGTAGTTTTGGATTATACTGAGATTAAGAAAAAGCTTGACCTTACTGAGAAACGCGTCGAAACATTGGTCGATACGATGGAGGCGCAAAACGCTCTGCTCAGAGAATTAGTAAAAAAGATTGATCCTGGAACCAAGATGGACGAGGAGAGCATGGAAATGGAAGGATCGACTGTGGAACACGAGCAAGGGAGCACATCAGCTTCAGGAGAGAAGTGGATCCTTAACGACCAGCAGCCACATGAGATTAAAATACAACCACACTTGTACAAATGTGGAAAGATTACTAACGTTTAGTTACATTAAGCAGCAAAATACTATCCTATACTTGTAAGAGTGTCAGGTGTGAACACAGCGTTTTCAATCACGCGGCGAGCGGCTATGCAGATGTATAGAAAGAAGGAAAGAATTATCTGCAACGTGGGTGCGAGTGTGCGTTGGTTTATCCAAATAAGAATGAGCATGGTGAGTTGTTATGACTGGTGACTAGTCCTACCCATTTGCAGGGTCGACGCAATGCCGGAACTAGAATGTTCGAGAAGAATGGTTTCAGAAACAGAAAAATTCTCTTTCATATGTGAAACAAGATTCACTTTCACTTACGCGTTCTTTTCAAATTTCATGTCGCCGTAGATAGAAGTAATTGATGTTAATGATAATGCATGCGAACATTTTGGGCATGCTTATATTTGCACCAATGTGGCACTATCAAACAGCCCCAAAGATTTATCGATTTCATAAATTCCAACTTTTACTCTCTCTCCCGATTTGCTTGATAAATTTAGGCGACAAATTTTAGAATTGGTCGCGTAAAACAGAAGTATTGTTTCCCTGCACTACCTAGTAGGGGCTTGATTAATGCAGAATAATTATTGAAGCTTAAATCACTGTCATCTTTTCTCCTGCTACACGTCCATCAACCTGTTGAATGGAAAAAAATCCTGCTAAAAATAAACGTTTTATTGTAAAGCGCATTAGAGCTTTAGAATAGGACGCTAGAGAAATTTTTGCATTATTATTATTATTATTATTATCCGTATTGAAAACACTTCTGTGAACCCTTTAATAAGTATCTTTGTTTACGTGTGAAAAGTGGACAAATTGAATAATCATGCCTAAATACAAGTTTAAAGATCACGTAATCTTCTGTTTTGAGAGTATTCAGCAAAATAATTGCATTTATTGGTACTAATCAGTCAGTTAGGGAATAAAAGTTTCGATCATCTTTGCTAAAGATGATCTTTGGCCTGTAAAATGGTATCTTGTTTGAATATGAAAACTTCAAATTTGCATATTGGTGAAATCTATTATGTTGCAAAAATTTGGTTGCGTTGAGTTTTCGAATCCAATTAACTTTGATAATTATTATTTCCGTGAGATCCACATATCCTGCACTTGTTACTGCGTGTTCTATATCTAAAAAACACTTTTTTCCGAATCCGTATAACTTTGATTATTCTCGTTTCCTTGTGTGCTCAATTTTTTCGTGATAGAGGACATTGAGTCACCGATGACAAGTCGTCTGCCGCCTATGAATTCGAATTAATGTCTGTACTACGTTGATTGTCCGACTTAAGTATGGAAGCTTCTTTCGACCAGAAAATAAATGTTGTATACCTCGACGAAAGTCGCAGAACTCCTGTGCATCGTGCTGCTCTGGATGGTAAGTACGAACAGGTGGAAGAAAAAGTACGAGTCGCCTCTGACCTGGATGACCAAGATGAACAAGAAAGGACCCCACTGCATGATGCGACCAGACACGGACACAGGTACCTTTGAGCGGTTTATCTCAAAGAGATTTAAGGTTAAGTGTCATTATGTGAAACGTATGATTCCGAACAAATGCCACAGTTGGTGAAGCCAAACACAGTTTTCGTCCCCTTTGATTCTGATCAGCGAAAATAATACTTTCTGTAAAATCTACAAGTTGCAGTGGATGCGTAGTTATTAACAAGAGGGTCTTGATGGGGTGTAGCTTTTACGGCTAACGCTTAAAAATACTGGCCAATCTATGGCTAACGGTTAATATCTTTTCAATGTGGTCGACCAATGGTTACCGCCATTGAGACCCTATTTATAGAATCAAACTGTAGAATTCTTAAAAAGTTTTGAATTTGAAGATTTTGAAAGAATGAATCATTGAAAAAAGGAAGTATAAGAATTGACACCAATTGAAGTAAATGAAAGGGCTACACTGGAAAAATAAAGTAAGTGCATTGCTTTCTGTTGTATGAGAAACGGCGGCCAAAGGGTTGACGCGCTGGGTTCTATCCTTGGCCTGGTTGCTGTGTTGTGATCCAGTACAAGACATCTCCCACAGGGCCTAAGGGTCAAGGGGGGGGAGTAGCCCAGGATGGGCTATCATACCCTTCTGGGGGTACAACCAATACTTCTGGTTGCTCTATGCCACGGAAGCTACGGTAAGTTTCGACTCTCTAGGCACCAAACATAAGAGCAGATTTTATCTTAATATTCTAAAGGGATAACTAATGTTACAAGTTCCCTTCTATCACGAGGAATTGAATTTTAGACCATTAGTCTTGAATCCAGCATTGCAACTCTTCGGTTGCGTTGCCTCCTGGAAAGATGATTATAAGATTAAACATTGAACTAACACAAAGCGTAAATGTTTGAGTTTTCGTTTTCTACATGCAGGAAAGTTTGCCACACTCTGTTACAACACGGCGCTAACTCTTCTTTCAAAAACAGAGAACACTGGACACCACTTATGAGTGCAGCAGACCTGGGCAAGGAACAGTCGTGCCAAGATATACTCACTGTTAATCCACAGACTGATGACGTGAACATGGATGGAGAGACAGCATTGCATATTGCGTGTAGGAGAGGACATGTGAGCGTTGTCAACCTGCTAATGGACCACGGGGCAAGTTTGAATGTTTGTAACAAAGATGGTGTAACGTGTTTTGAGGCAGCCGCCAAGGCAGGAAAGAGCAAAGTTGTGTTTGTAATGATAAAGCATAAAAGGTATGAACAGTTACCCCAGACTGAACTGGTATCTACCATTTATACTCAAAGTTTTAATGGCAGGAAGTAGGAGACTCGACCTGCACGTGACGGCCGAAAAGCAAGAGTATAGAAGAGCATTACGAAAGTTGGGCAAGCTGTGCGATGAAAACAACGGTCTCCTCTTCGTTTGGCGCTACGATTAAGGCGTTTTCCTTGCTTTTAAGACAGCTAAAAATGGTAAAATAAATTTCTAAAACCAAGCCTTAGATGGAACTTAGCTTTAGTGCCATTCTTTCCTCTGTTTTCTCGTATCCATGGAAATTCTCGACTCTTTCTCAAAATGCAGTCGTGATCATTATTCTGACACCTAAGGTCACTTCAGCAGAGCCAAAGCCTCTCAGAAACACCCTTATGTTTAACCTTATGTAAGCTTCACCCAAAACTTAGTTCGGTTCCCCCTTTTTAACTCGTGAATTGCCCGCATGCGCAAGAGCGAGTTGTAGATACGATGTGGGGAATAGCACTCGTTCGCTCGCTCGCTTGCTCGATTGGTCGATTCCTGTAAACTTTTTTTCAAGTGAGTGCATTTGATAGTTTTTGGTGAGCAATAAACAAACGAAAGGGCGACCTTTGTTGCTAAGAATAGTGGTGGGGTGAAAAAGAAGCCAATGATAATCTTAAAAGAGTTTTTTTTTTTCGTTTTAGTCTCAACAAGCGGCGCAAGCGACTGGCAGGCATGCAAGGATTCACACTGAAATAACAGAACAACCTTCGTTTTCCATAAAATTGTAATTTACAACCCTTGAACTTGAAAAAAATCCGAAGATTCATTGAAAATATCACTTACTACGAAGCGCTCGGAGTTTACAGATGTTCAAAAGCTTCTTCTGTTATGGCGTGATTGAGGATAAAATCAATCATTACGTTTCGTATCGTGTGTTTTTCCTGTGTGAAGCAACAAAAAAAGCCGGCGACTGACGAAATTACAAGTTAACACGATAATCAAATAATGCCTAAACAACAAATTTCAGCTACCGATTTTCAGTGAATTTTTAAAGAACAATTTTCTTTTAAGTTTCAAAACTATTTGAAGATTCAAAATACATATTACGTACTAAGATGCGAAAGTTATACACTACAAAATTGATAAATAGGCCTGAAATGAAATTCTATCTGGTTATTGATTATACGTTGCCTAGCACGTGACTAAAATCTACCCAGGAGATCCAAAATGACGGTGGCAGTCTTGGCTTAGTTATATCGCTCAAAACTCGTTCCCGTTTGTCTCATTTGATAAAGAGGGAATCGTTAACGTTTTCAATATTTTCTTGATTTTCTAATATTTACAATGACAGACAGTAAATTTCACTTTTCACCCACATTCACTTCCAACCTTTTCTTTTGAACCAGAAACAAAAATGATATACGTTTAAAACACGACATCATCCACCCTTGTCAAATGTAATAGCATGATCATTTCAATTGTAATGCCTTCTTATCCCAAAGTTACTTTGTTTCTTTGCTACATTAGCGAGCACTGAACTACTGCTCGTACTCTAGATATGACAATCAACCACAAAATTCCCTAAACCAGATAACATTAAACATAATCCAAAAAATCATGTGTCAATTCACGAGTTTGCTCACAGAGCACTTTGATTCTCAATCGAATTGTCAAGCTTTAATTAAAACCTCAGATAAATACCACCCAGGATCTCCTGCACTTTGTTATAGCTGGGGATTTTTTGATACGTTTTGTTAGGGAAACACACGAAAAGTGTTTTAGTGTCCGTTCATTAATAATTAGTATTTTAGGATAAACCTCTTCATGAGCCATCTTGAGCTTCCTTCCTCGGATAACCGAAAGAAAATCTGTTTAGGTTAAGATACAATCTCAAGATTTGTTAGACACAGGGGTCAATGATTGATTGAGCTTGGTCCGGCGGATCGGGAAATATTTGACTCTGACTCTGTTTTATTGCTTCTGAACAGATGGATGGAAATAATGGAACACAAGGATAAGAACGGCCTTACCCCCATGAAGCTTCTCATAAAACACTTCCCAGAGAGTGCACAGCTGGTCATGGATTACTGCATTGATCGATCAGAGATAGAAAGTTCCAGTGATCCAAATTTTACCATTACTTGCAACCTCCGTTTCCTAGACCCCGGACCTACTAACGCTATTTGCCAGAGAGGAAGCCATTTCTTTGGACCGAGCACCATGGTGAAACACGAACGTAAAGAATTACTCGAGCATCCTTTGACACAGGTCTTGCTGAATAAGAAGTGGTCTTCTTTCGGGCGCTTGGTGTTCTACTTTAACTTTATGTTCTATTTTGTCTTTGTTGTCATGTTTACAGCTTTCTTAATCCGATTCATGCAGAACGGTGATACAGGATTGGGAGATTCTTTTATGTATCCAATAGTATTTTTACTTTTTGGCGTCCGATTCATTAAGGAAGTTATTGCGATAGTTGTCCAGAGGCTTCATTATTTCACCACTTTAAGTAATCTTACTGAATGGATACTCTACAGTACGACGGGTTTCTTCATGTTTTCACTTTTCGCTTTCGATTTGACAATTCCGTTTGACGGCCCTGAGAAGCGTCATAATCGTTATCCACAATTAATCTGGGTATTTGGTGCCATTTCGATTTTCCTTTGCTATGCGAACCTAGTCTTGGTTCTTTGTCGGTTGAGTCTGGTTGGAATCTATGTCACCATGTTTATAGATGTCACTAAGTCGGTTTTAAAAGTACTTCTGATCTTCTTTGTCTTGTTCTTTGGGTTCTCCATGGTGTTCTACGTCCTCTTTAAATCAGAGGTAAGATGAAATGAGAGATAAGTGTGTATGTAAGTAATTTGCTTCTGTTTGTGATTTATGTGAGTTTTTTCCCTTTTTTATCATGCTCGTAATTTAAAACCCAAAGTAAAAATATTCCTTATTCTGTACCTTTTTGCGCCGTTTATTGACTCGCTCAATAGCAACAAGCCTGACAGATTTGTTTACAGTAATTAATTAAAATGTCACCGGATTTTGGGCTCAATATGGGTGCAGCAAATGCCTAATCGTATCTTTTCAGTGCTCTTTGACGACATATAAAGCTCGCTCGGTCTTGTCAAGGGTATCTTGGAATCATGACTCAACTAAAATCGCCTCATCTTCTAACGGAACGCGCCAAAAAGGAACGATTAAGGATGACATAACGTTATAGTAAGCGAAATATGCAATAATGATAAACAATAAACAACTCCCAAGATCTGATTGTTAATTCTCCCCTCTAGCTGCTACACACTTCCTTTTAAATTAGTTAAGAGAATATGGTGTTAGATTAAGAAAAACAACTTTTGTGTGATAAGTTTATTCTCATTACCTGTTTGCTAGACAGTTTATGGATATTACACGGAGAAGTAACCTCTCCATCACCTCTGGGAGTTAAAGGGCTAAAGCGCTGAGAATCTCTCGTATTTCCTCCACAGGAGGTGGTATTTAAACAACCGGGATTTTCTTTACTGAAGGTGGTAGTGATGACAATTGGAGAGGTTGACTTTGAAGACAGATTCATGCATTCCCAGAATATCACAAACAAGCCGACATCTTCTCAGACAGCTTCTTTCGTTTTCCTCGGCTTGTTCTTGATTTTAATGACAATTGTACTGATGAACCTGCTGGTATGCTTTAAGATAACAAACTTTTCTGTAACTTTTAATAGTACTAGTTGGATGCATAATCAACCAACTTTCTATCACAAACGCAGTAGTCTTATTGGCTTGACTATTGTCTATCTATTTGACATATGGATCCCATCTTAACATGTGTCTATTCGTTGTGATATATTAACCATTTAGCCCCTAAGAGTGACGAGCATCTAATTGCTCCTTACAATATCCCCACTCAATCACACATTGATGTCATGAGAATGAAGGAAATAATCACCAACTAAAGAAACTCTTGATTGTTAGACAAATTCTCCTCGTCAGCACCTTAGTAAATGTACAGAGAACAGTATGGAGATTATGAATACTGATGTCAGAGTGTAGAGGGTTAAGCTGAATTATGCGCGCATTTTGTCTGCTTCTTACTTACGATGTATCGGTAGATATACATCCATAGATGACATCACCATTGACAATTTTTTTCTTTATCGTATAAAACATACAGATTCCATGTAGGCATGGGTATGTTCAGGAACAGATCACAAAAGACCTCAAAATAAAGAAACAACGTCAGTGACACGCTCGGCTGCGCCTCATGTGCCATTTTTTGTCCTTACCACATTTTGACCTCATCTGTGATCTGTTACGGCTGAGCAGACGCTCGGCAACATAGAAACTTCCTGTGGAATACACCACAAATAACGTCTATTGTAGTTGAAACAAAAAATTGGAACACGGGACGCAACTGAGTATTTCACCGACTCAAAATTCGTATTATCAAGACGCTTCTGTGTAAGAAATGAAACTCAGTGCTACAATTTGCAGGACGTTGATCACGGTTGCATGTTTCACCTACAGGTGGGTCTTGCCGTGGGTGATATCGACGCAATTCGCCGCAATGCTGCGTTTAAAAGGATGGCTATGCAGGTCATGTATATCGTTAGGGTCGAAAACAGCTTCCCGAGGTGTATCTCGCGGCGTTTTCGCCATCCAGAAGTAAGTTTGCGGCCAAATCGTCGAACTCTGAGGAAAAGGTATGCCGTGATTGCCATTCTGATAAAAAAAATCACACGTAAATCTCAAAAATGTCAGAAAATTCTAAAAAGCAGCTTTACAACGACTCCATCAATGTCTACTTCTCTTTAATATCTTTACCATTCATTATCCAGTCAACAGTTAACGAGAAAACTGATCAGTTAGAAATTGTTATTTTGATCTAACACTACATTCTCGTCACTGATTGACAAGGAAATTTATAGCAACTTGAGGGGAGAAGTAACAATCACATCTTGGGAGTCAAATTAAGGGTTAAAATGTTCATTTCACAAAATTATTTCTTTGTCTTCGATATTCAGGTTGATGCTTCTTCTTGGAATGGAGATATCCTCGGGCTTGGACTTTACCCCTCGCGCCAAAGAAGAACCGTTCTCCGGTGTAGTTTTGGATTATACTGAGATTAAGAAAAAGCTTGACCTTACTGAGAAACGCGTCGAAACATTGGTCGATATGATAGAGGTGCAAAACGCTCTGCTCAGAGAATTAGTAAAAAAGATTGATCCTGGGACCAAGATGGACAAGAAGAGCATGGAAATGGAAGGATCGACTGTGGAACACGAGCAAGGGAGCACATCAGCTTCAGGAGAGAAGTGGATCCTTGACGACCAGCAGCCATATGAGATTAAAACACAACCACACTTGTATAAATGTGGAAAGATCACTTATGTTTAGTCATATTGAGCAGCCATATATCAGTATTTACTGAAACAATGGCTAACGTTGAAGGCGCGCTTTGATTGGTGACTCAAACTCCGAATAGTCTTTGCTACTCACCTCCGACCAGCTCGTGCGAGCGTTTGCGCCTGAAAATATTGTAATTGTTGCAGGAATAAATAAGTTTAAATAATCTTTTTGTACTATGTTATCTCACTGTTTTAGTGTTTACTAAAACAACCACTTACCTCAGCATCGGTGGCTAGCGGTGGATATTTGCCTTTTTAGTGGATAGTTGTTAATTATACTATAATGGTGCCTTATTTAGGGTGAAAGAAAAAGAAACTTTGATATAACCATCACACTTTTAGGATTGGCAATAACAAAAGTGCCGGGAGTAAACACAACATTTTACGTTAGAAGCAGTTATGCGAATGTTTTGGGAGAAATAATAAACATGACAGAATCTGTGTGCTTGTTTTCTTAGATATGTAAGGTAAATTGAGCCAAAGGAGACCTTTTTTTTTTTTTATAAATAGGCGATCAAGGGAACTCCAGCAAGGAGTCAAAATGCAAAATACGCACTGTGAGCGCCTGTTAGATAAACTTGAAATCCCAATTGATAATATATTCTGTGTTCAATTATATGGCAAGCAAATAAAACTTCCAAATCGTGATAAATGCAAATTATGTAAACCCCACATGTAAATGTATAAACGCATAACAACTACTGGATCCAAGAATCCATTCTTAAATGGAATAAACCCTTAGAAGGTACAGAAATTTTAGATAACCAAATTTCCCCAACATAAAGCTCTTACTCAAAACCATTTTATGTAATATATTACGGTTTAATAGAGTATTTCGCGGGCTTTTTTTATTTTTTTTTGCTTAATTTTACTTATTTCCACTTCCGATGCATGTCAATAAACATGTCACTATAACTTTGTTCCAGACTCGACCGAAATACATTTTGGCCTTTCTATCAATTTCTACACTAGTTCTCGTTTCACTTCGAATCCCTGTGATACGCCGCCTATAAATAGCTATTTCGGTGTTTAATTAGGGACTTTGTTCCAATTTTCCGAACACCTGGAAAATTTAAAAGCTGTAAGTGAATCACATCGCCCCATTGGCGCCCGATATCTGCAAGGAATATTCATAGATTTTTCTCTGTGCGTTTATTACTCAATTGTTTTCGTTTTTTTGTGTAAAATACAAGTCAGAACTCGCAGTATACATTATTACAATTACTGAGTGGTACTCCTATGTAAATAAGTATGAAATGACTTGAATCTCAAAGCATCAAATCCTCAAGTCTAACTTTAAGTCATTATTAGCGAGACCCAAGAACGACAAGATTCATAGAGAACATCTATCATGTCAACAACTATGTGTTTAAGCGTAAACAAATGAGTTGCTGATAGTCAAGGGTAAAAAACACATGTTTCGCTGTGTTCTGAGTAGCACGTCTATCTTTTACTTTTTATGTAAAAATCATAAATAATTTTGATAATCGGTGAAACTTGGTTTTTTATAAGAGAAGCAATTTAACCCCAAGTGGCAAAGCAGATGTCTTTAGGCATTAGTTAATTGTCCTAGCACCCCTTCATCGCCAGAAATATCCACAAAATCTGTCATTCCGTCGATCTCTCGCAGCTAAAATTATCAAGTTATTTGCCTGTCACATTTTTTTTTTCATTTTGAATTCTAGCTTAGGATACGCGATCATGCGTCGGAAATTTTAATTATTTATTGTAGCTTAAAGTAACTATTGAAGCATATTTACATTGTAATTCGTGGGTAAACTCTCACTGGGAAGAAATTCGCCACAAAGTGAGTTCTTGTCTTCGAGCGAGAAATAAATCGCTAATTAATCGACACGGACAACACGAAACGGATTTTCGGCGAGACAGTATATGAAGACATCGCTCACCTGAGGTGTTTCTCGAGGTTGGAGTCAATTTTAAGAGCGGCACCTTCGTTAAAATTCAGACTGCAAAGTAACAGCATAAGAATAATATTATTGAAAGACAAACGGCGCAATTGAAAGTGTAAGGCAAACAGTCCGCGGGGTGAACCGTAAGAATCATGGTACAATGACTTCAAACGCTACTTTCTCGATGACAAAGAAAGAAAGTTCCGCCAGTTCAAGAATTAGGATCAACGTAAGCGGAACAATGTTTGAAACTTTAGAAGAAACTTTGTCGAGGTACCCAGACACTCTTTTAGGATGTCCAAAGAAGCGTGTTCAATATTTTGATAAAAGAAATGACGAATACTTTTTCAACCGAAACAGACTGGCTTTCGATGCGATTCTGTTTTATTATCAGTCGTATGGGAGACTAGTTAGACCCGACATGGTGCCTGAGAATGTTTTTATCGATGAGGTACGTTTCTTCCAAATTCGAAGCTCTTACACTTCTACTCGAGATAAAATCGAGCGTGCTCTTTTAGGAAAAGACGAGGATTTACCACAAAACCTCATACAACGTAAGATATGGCTGTTGTTTTCACATCCCGAATCATCATACGCAGCAAGAGTTCTGGCAGTTTTATCTGTTATTATCATTCTTCTTTCGGTGGTTATACCATGTTTTGAGTCGTCATCTGGGGCATCAACTCTATAAACAACAATAGGAGCACGTTTTTCTCGTCTTTGGAGATGGCCTGTTATATTTGGTTTACCTTCGAGTTAGTGGTTCGTTTTTGCAGCGCACCTCATAAACTGCGGTTTTTTTTCGCTCAATGCTTAACATTGTTGACATAATCAGCGTCGTTCCGTACTATGTTCTTCTAACAATGCAAAACACTCGTGCACCGTTATCGGTGCTGCGCGCGGCAAGAATGCTGCGTGTTTTACGGATATTCAAACTTTCCCGCTACTCCAGTGGTATGCGGATATTGATATTTACGTTTTATACGAGTATGAAAGAGTTGGGAATGTTTTTTATCTTCATCTCCATCAGTGTCGTGGTATCATCGAGCGCAGCGTACTACGCCGAGACTGGTTGCGAAAAATGCGCTTTTACGAGCATCCCTGACGCGTTTTGGTGGGCGGTAAACACGATTACAACGGTGGGTTACGGCGATCAGTACCCGCTGACAGCCTCTGGTAAAATGGTGGGTTGTCTGCTGACCGTGTTTGGTGTTTTAATCATTGCTCTTCCAGTTTTCCTCTTTGTCGCAAACTTCAACAAAGTTATGAACGCCAACATGGCGGCAATTGACCGCTCTGGAGAAAAAGAACGCTGAAGTCAACTGAACCCATTGAAACTCTAAGTCTGCACTGAAATGGCTTTCTTCGATTGCTTGCCGAATTTTGTATCACGCGAAGTACTTTTAGCAAAGCAAAACAAATTCTGCTACCATTTTGCACATGAATTGTGCAAATATTTTCTTTGTATTTAAGCGCTTGTATCGATTACCATTTGTTACTTTAATGTTCTTCAAGTCCCTTCGATAATAGAAACTATGACTAATGTCAGAGCCACCCGCTAAAAGGTTTTTATCAATTTTCCTTAATCAAAATGATGTCCATGTTTGTGTTACCAACGCAAAAATATGACTAATCTCTTTTTTCAGGCAGATTATTGAAAACCTGTTTGAAAATAAGATGGATTAATTGATTGGCTGAAAAGGATTTTAGCTAGTGTTAAGGGCAATTCTTTCTGTTTAGTGAAAGAAAATGTTTCCATCTGAAACTGTATTTAGGTAATCAATCAAGCTGTCTTATTTGTAAACAGCTTTTAAATAATCTTCCTGAAAATTGGAAACATTAGTCACTGCATAAAATCCTTGATTATTGTAAACGGACTAAAATTAATTTTAATTTTTTCAAATAAAGCTTACGATTTTACCTCATGAACACTTACCGTAACAGTATACTGAGTCCACTAAAGCAAGAAAAAAACCTTTAAAATTGTTTACATCTCGCGCATCGAACAAATTTTCAGCGCTAGAATCCAGTCCATTGCGAAACTTAACTGTGCTCTGATACGGACCAAAATCAGCATTGTTTGCCGTTCCCCATTTCATTTATCGTTATTTTCGTTACCCTTCTTGTTGTTTTTTGTACTTTCATGTCTCTTTTCATTTGTTTGTTTTTGTTTGGATTTGTATTTGTTTTTTTTTTTTTTCACCAACAAGTCTTCACCCAAGCAATTTACTATACAAATGAAAATGTGAATTTCAGTTTCTCTTTCATTTGCTCTCTCATTTATTACGATGAATGAACTCTGTCACTTCGCCAAAATAACATGTCCTCTGGCGTCAGGGTGTTCAGAATTAATTTTGTATTGAATAGGCTTCAATCAAGGACCGGGAATTTCAACATTTCAATTTCAATATAAAAGAAGACCGACGCTCAGCTGAATGACTGTTTGTATGTTTGCGATCAAGTCAGTTAAGTGGTTCTAAGGAAAGAAATTAATTAAAGACAGGGATCAACGTCCCTAATTTCGCCAATAGATCATCAGACCCTACAATATTCGCCGGTTGAGGGGAGAACTTTGCACGTACAGTATATCAGGAAAAATGATGGACACAACCGCGATGACCGAAAGAATTGAAAGGCTCTCCTGATGGGTTATACGAAATTAAGACTGAGCGCTTATTCCATTAGCCACGAAGTTGAGGTTTTTGTCGGCTGATTTATCACCTCGAGGAAAAGGATTGTCAAATTGATAGGAATAGAAAGTGCCAAGTGGTAAAATCGTTACAGAGTGATTCAATAAAGAACCGCCTTAAGGCTCCTACGTAAATTTCAGTATAGTTTGCCTTTTTGCAGCTTCAAAACAGCAGATAGTAACCCAATGATACAGTAAGACTGTTGGAAGCTTTAAGAAGAGCACAATAAAAGTTGAGGAGGTGTTAGCTCAGTGACAGATTTGCTGTGATGAATATCTGCTCCTAAATCGAAGCTTTGATCAACTTGTAATGTAACGCTCTAATATATAGATTTAGCCAAGCCTAAAAGCGGAGCTCGCATTTTTTTTCCGCACGTCTCAAGGGTACAACGGCTTGCCCCGGAACCCGGGTCGTCCGACTCGGAGCCCAGTACACTGACCACTGGACTACTGAACAAAGCGTGGCGTTGACGTGCCCGCGGTACAGTTGACCACGCATGTTAAAAATAGCACCTTGTACGGTCGTACGGTCGTACGGCTTGATGGGTTACTACTATTTTGTATAATTATGGGGCTACGCTCTACGAGCTCCGCTATAATCGCCAACTGCGAGAGATGAGTCGTTGAAACTTGTGTTGTGGTCATCTGTAAAGTCAGGTTCTCCAAGGCTCTGTTTTGGCCTCTTTATTCTCCTTATTATTAGTCTACCAAACTGGGCTATATATTAAAAAAATCATATTTTAAGGAGAGGTCTATTTTAAGAAAATCCTATTTTAAGGAAAGGTGTAGACTCTGTTAATTACCGTGTGACAGGAGCCAATTACTTAATGGGCTCCTACGTGTGATACATACTGCACTAAAAACTGATTGCCATTTCCATATCGTACGTGCAGTCTGATTATGAACGCTGCGGCCGGTTGCAAGCTAGGACCCGGTGACAGTAGCCTGCTAAGCTTGTTGTTTTTCTTCACTCTTCTATTGTCCACCTCCTGTCTTACAGGCGGGTTAGGTGAGCGAGCACTGGAGACTGGAAACCACTAAAAGGCTTGGCTACTGAGCGGAGGATTGTGTTTTGAAGAGAGTTGAGTATCGAAGCGTGATCGTGTGAAGTGAGGTTTGTTTTTATTCCATCTCCTAAGAAGGTTTGGTATTCAGAATAGAAGACTCTGTTCCTTGCAAGAATGGGTGATCATGTCAGAAATCCCTTTGACGACATTGATTCCGGAGATGATGAGATAGAAAAGCCACCGACACCTGAAATCCATCATGGCGGTGATTCGCCAAGGGCGCCAGGTTTTAGCGATATTTCAGACAATGAAGATGAAGAAAAAACCGGCGAAGAAGCCACCAAACAACAGCCTGAAGATAGCAACGATAGTTCTAACGTTAGTTCCCCAGGTGATAGGGAAGATAATACAAAAGAGGATATCATTACGGAGGCGAAACCTGACGCTAGTCCTCTCTACGATCAGGAAATGTCGCCCGTTTCATCAACTTCGGCAACAGCTGACGACCAGGAGAACACGGTCGCCAAAGAAGATCACAAAGAGAAGGATGCTTCCTTAGAAGCTGAGCAATTACCACAAAAAACAAATCAAGAATCTGAAAGAAAACAAGAGAATTTAGAAGGAACGGAAGTCGAAGGTGAACTTGGAGTTCTTAGTCAGCTGTCTACACCAAGAGCAGAGATGGGCGAAGGAGAGCCCGAGGGAAATTTAAATGTAACAGAGAACACAACCGAAAGATGGCGAACTTTTTCTTCAGGGGCAGCAACGGACGATGATTTAGAAATGCCAATATCACCTTTAGGTCTTGGACTCTCAGGACCTGAATCAGAAATAGTTGATGACATTTTGAAAAGTGATGTCTCCAAGCTTCTTCCTGGCAATGAAGATGAGTCTAAGGAAGGGCCAATAGGTATGATTGATTTTGAAACGGTAGGGCACACTTTCTATCTGTGAACCAGTACAATAACTCACTCAGGATGTTGGGTAGTATGAGAAACACTCGGAAATCTCAAGCCAAAGATGAGTGATTTGCAGACTTGTCGAGTGTTCTCTCAACATTCCACATCAGTTGTTTTGCTGGCAAGCCATTATAAAGTGTGGCCTTTTGTTTTATGAAACAGTTATAGTCTAATGGTATACTGAACCTTTTTTTTTTCACTAATCAGAGTGCACCTAGTATCTTTTATGTAAAGTAACACTTAACAAACTCATTTTATCAACCCCATTGATGAAAACCAAATTACGTTGACATTATTTGAATTGCCCAGTTTTTTCCCTGAGCTCTGAGGGTATTAAGCAGTAAGTGAACTGCATGTAAAGTTTTGCCTGAAGGTACAGCCACCAATCACACCATCAGCAGCTGAATATGGAAAAAGTTATTGAAACCCCTGCATTTGTTTTATTTTGTCTCTGACTGGTTGGAAAGGTGGTATTAGGTTATCAAACCAGTTATAGAGAAAATTGAAAAAAAAAATCAGAAAAAAGAGGAGCAGAGAGCTTAGATCATTAGATGTAGTTCTAAGATATCCCGGATCAACATCAGTATCTGGGCAATTGCCCACCTACCCCTCCCCTAACCCAACATTAACCCTAACTTGTCATCAATTGACTGTTGTTGGGTTAGGGGAGGGGTAGGTGGGCAGTTGCCCAGGTACTGATATTGATCCGGTATCCCTTACAGCTGAAGAAACTGTCCAGCAGTGAGTATAGGGAACTATAAACATGGTGATGTAGGCTGGTTACTCTATTGAGACATTCCTCTGATCTCACCTTCAAAATAACCACTTACTTCAACAATAAAGCCACCAACTCCAAAACTCTTTTACTAATCCTGCCTCTCTCTCTCTCTCTCCCCCAACCCTTTGGGAGCTTGGTTCCACCTCTCATGTGATAGGTAGTGTTGACACATACACTGTGCCCTTTCTTTGCAGACCAAAACGATGACCTCAACAACATAGCTAAAGAGGAGAAGAGTCTTGCTGAGGGAAGACCAACAGAACAAGATGAGGAAGGGTATGTGCAATTTTTGTACTGTGACCACACAGCTGATCATCTTTATTTTTCTCAGTGCAACTCATGGTACTGTTCAGAAGTATATAAGAGTACTGTTACATACATATACGTACATACATACT